TATTTTTCGCTCACCTTTCATAACCCTTTCTTTATTTCTTTCTTTGCCTTCTTAATCTAACCCTAATTATGCTACTATTATTATATATTCTAACGGGTCTATATATGACTAACCAATAGTCTAGAGAATTAATAATTGAACCATGAACCACTAACTTTTTTAGCTCAATGTCGAGTCCAATTAAAAACAAATATATGTGGTTATTACTTATTAGAAAGTCGTCATTTTCCACTATGGGATTTGAAGACATCAAATTTCAAACGAGTTCCAGTTTTTATTCCTTTTGCTTCTCTCTAAAAATTTTCTTTTTCACTCGGGCTAGAATTTTCAACAATTATACATGGAATTTTCAACAATTATACATATCAAACAAATATTTTTCTATTTTTCTATAAAAAATAAATAATTATCATCTTAAATACATCACCATAAAAGGAATTAAGCATCAACTATGCAAATTATAGTTGGGTATCTAAACTTAATAGATCTTTAGATTTATAACCTAAATTTAGTTTTTGGTATATAAGTCCTCAAAATATTTATGGAACATTATATTTTAGTACCTAAATTTTTAGGTCTAAGTTTTGTATGTGTAATTAAAAATATACCCTCGAATAAATGGGTATACATACCCAACTTATGCACATTAGATTATGAAAGTAAATATACATACCCTACCCAAACCCATCTACAAACTTTCAAACCCATATATACGTCACCTATACCCTACCCATAATCAATGAGTCTACTTGGGTTTAGGTAAATATCATTCATTAGACAAAATTTTCAAAAAAATTAAATTTGATGTTGAAAGTCATATATCTATTCCCCAGTCTATATCATATTGTCAAGTCAATATTACTAACAAAAAATTAATTTTAAACTAATAATACTAACAAAAGTACACCATAATGAGTCAAATAATACATGTTTATACACCATCTCCGCCCGCGACACGTTGCAGCATCCCCATCTAGTATATATATAATAATTTTGGTCACGTGGCCAGCAGCCTATTTTACTATCATCATCGTATCCAGTTCATGAACACACGTACGCATGGAGCTTGTAATTTTGTTGGTTTTTGTCTTTGGTATATTGTTTTTGTTTCTACTCCATAAATACACATTATGAGCTACAGGTGATACAAAAAGTCAACTCTAACAGATTGAAGATACTGTCCACAAACTGAAATTGTTTGAAAAAAAATTACTTTCCTATTATGGTTCCCCAAAATGGACCCACCATCAGCTGATCACGAACTATACATCCATGTTTATACGTAGTGGTGGAATCAGGATCTTTAAACAAGTGTATCGGCCGATTAATTAGTATTTGCATAAATTTCTTATAGCATAGTGAAATTGTGTCGGGATCATAATTGGTTTTGACAATAATTAGTTTATAAAGTGTTGTACTCCCAACTATTTACGAGTTATTGAATTAAACTGGTTCTTAACACATCCACCTAACTCGCAAACTTCCAAGTCGATCGATCATACCCATGTCCCGCCTCGTGCTAGACATACTAGCAAACAGGTCTGGATGTGTAGATGCTTATTTGCCGACCAGATGTCCATTCCTAATGCAAGGAGCTAGCTAGCTATCTACAACGTGCATAAATCAAAACATATATATAACAAAAGAAAGCCCAAACTTTTATATGCCGTTGTCATTTTCATAAGAAAATGACCGTAAATTAAAATATGGAGGGCAAGTCTTGTCCTTGATTTACCAATTTATTGCTTAATCAAGCAATGAAGCATGGCCCAGGCAAATTAAAGTGGGCACAATTTATGTGTAAGGATTGGAGAGCTTAATCGATCGAAATCATTACAAACCCTTAGTACATATATATGATATATGTATCCCCTAGCTTGACTTTCAACCCTTTGGGAAAATCATGATTAGTACTGTTTGTGCCACCATTAGTGACATTGGAAGTAATACTAATGATTATGCGGGGGCAACATTTTCAATAATTAATTGCATAAATTCTTTTATATATTACATTAAGCGCGATCAAGGAAAGATGAAAGATCGGGCAAATATTAATTGAGATATCTAAGTTATATGCTAGGATTAAAGATATGACTTGAATTTGATTTGGGTTTGTTTTGTATTTTTAGGATTATTCTGTTTGGATTTGGGATTGGGTTTTGTTTTGATTTTTTTTCCTTGTATGTTTGGGAAAAGGTGTTTGGTTTTCTTTTTGGAATTAGGAGAAGAGTTCTATAAATACTCTTCACCACCATAATCTGTTGTAAGGTCAGTCAGGTTAGTTTGTTTGGTTTGTCCGTTTGGAATTTGGTTTGTAACCTGTACTCTCCTCAAATTAGTGAAATTTGTCTCCCCTGCCCGTGAATTAGCTGACACACATTGTATTAGTGAACCACGTTTAATTTGTGTTCGTTCGTGTTGGTTTCGATTATCGATTGCACGCTTTTGTTCTGACATTATATGATATTAATATGCATATATGCATACAAGAAAATGAGATTTAAAACACAAACGAAAAAGAACATGCATCTGGGCTAGTATTAGTATAGATCGATCTCACTGTTTCTCCTTTCCCCATTAAGAAAATTTTCTCCATCTCTCGGTACCAAAAGTTATAGAACAATTTCTCAGACTTCATAGTCTTGCTAGACTTGAAATCATCCCTTAGGTAAAAAAAAAAAAAAAAAAATTCTTGCCCCTTGAGTTCGAAATTTCTTAAAATATTTTACACATATAAAATAATATATGTGCTATGTACAGATAATTGCCCCCAATTTGTGTTTCACCATCTGATTGATGTTTTTTTTTTCTCCGGCCTAGCAATTAAGGATATAATGCCAACTGTGGGTGGTCCATATACAAATTAATAATCACTCCTTGGCAAATTAATGACCTCTAAACGATTTGATTAATGGCTTAATGCTTATCCATGTTCTTGATCATTGATTCTTTGGTGGGACTTGCATATACTTAATCCATCCAACCTTAGCTAATTATTCCCCCAGCTAAATCTTGTGGTAGTTACAATTCGATCCATATTTTCTTGTTCGATTTGAACCAACTCATATCTGCTGCTGCTTAGACACCAGTGACACGATCATCACTCAGTATCCAGTTACAAAAGCCCCCAATTCGTGTGTGCAGAGGGGATCGGATCGTCATATCTGTAACTCTCGATATAATTCGGCCACCTTGATTATGGAACTTATCTTCATCATTTCAAATTTGTTTTCTGATCGCTCAGAAGCTGTATGATCCAACTCGAAACAATGCTAGTGAAAAGGAGGACTCGTATGTTAAAAAAAGCAACAAGCTACATAGGGCTTCAAGGGTAAATACATACCCCATTCCTTTTTCACCCCCACAAAATAGAGACGAAAAATAGATCCATATTAAAGTCAGAATTTGCATATATGCAAATGCAATGGAGGGTCACTGTCTTTTCATTTGTTATTTATTTGTTTGTTGCAGGTCAAGTACTATTTTTGTCTTGCCTTTCAGAGACTTTTAGTTTTGGGCCACCATGCACAAATTTGCATGCAGGCAATGGCAAGGAAAAGAGCTACCAAGCCAATTTATTTATTGTTATTAGCTAGAATATATATTGTATTTGTTTTTTGGTTAGGATATCCATTATTATCATCCCATCCTAGAAAGGAATTCTCATTTTCGTTCTTCATTCCCTATATAGCAACATTGCAGTCGATGGCAAGAGGAAGAGAGGGAGAGAGAAAGGTGTCACATTTGCATAAATGTACAACCACGAATCATTCATCATATTGATGCCAATATGTACTTATATGGAAATTTCGTGTTATATATTTCATCGTTACAACACTAATAACATCGTTACAGTATGCATTCCACGTAAACCACTTGTAGTATGTAGCCTAGATAAACAAAGGTGCATGCGTATATACGACGTATATTTTTGACAATTGTTTAAACTAATCGATCGTTAATAATTTAATAAAGGTTTCATATTTCCGTTAAGAACCTTGTGCCAAAATTATCTGTCTTCTCTTAGGAGTATAGTATATAGTTGAAAGGGTCATAAAATTGATATTTCTCATTACTCGCTCTTATGAGTTTATAAAAAAAAAATTGTACCTGAATTTGCCTCCTAGTGTACTCCTAGGCTCCTTACTTTCTCGACGGAATAATGTCGTTTTATGAGCATGAATTTATGTATAATGTCGTCATACGTACTTATGAAATTCAACTTATGTAATTAAAGATCTACACACATCAAACCTCTACTTGCATGCATGCAAGGCAAGCACTCAGAAATTACAAGTATATCATATTGCCTAATTATATATACATGTTTACCACTTTATTTTAAATCTGCTTCAATCAACGATTAATATTAACAAATTTTAAAAGATTTAACCTGAGATTAGAACATTTACTACACTCTAGCTTTCAAATTTGAAACCAAGAATCATCAATAAAGTGAGTTGATATTAATACTTATCGCATATCTAACAACTCATTAATCATTATGTGCACTTGATATTAAAAAGGAAAACTTTTTTTTTGTGAATATACTTATATTATATGTAAACTAATGAACATATCAAGTCCGGCGATATCTGAAACATCGTAACGATATCAATACTTCAACGATTTTGAATTCACATATACAATGTACAAGTACATCACTAGGTAGGTAAAAGTAGAGATATCTAGAGAGCAGAGATGATGAGAATACATGAGATGCTACTATTATAAGCCACACAAGTGCTGAAGGTATATGTCTGCAGCTTTAATACTTTTTTTACCCCAAACGAAACCCTAGCTAGCTAAATAATACCATAAGAAAGCACCCCTCTTGGCCCCTCCTCTCATTAAAACCCACCAGACCAAGCCAGCAAATTCATCATCATCATCTCCATTCTCCACCTCTCTCTCTCTCTCTCTCTCTCTCTCTCTCTCTCTCTCTCTCTCTCTCTCTCTCTCATCACAAATTCTCTCCCTAGCTTAGCTTCTTCCTTTATATGACCTCCCACAGTAAAAAAAAAGTCTCAAGGAGAAACTGCTCATTATATTACCTCATCAATCCCCAGCTAGCTATAGTACCAGTACTACTTCTGCTTCTCTCTTTTTCAGGTTCTGGGAGTTTGCTTCTGGTCATTGGCTGCACTATTCTTTTTAGAAGAAGAAGAGGAAGAGGTATGGGGCACCATTCATGCTGCAACAAACAGAAAGTGAAGAGAGGGCTGTGGTCACCTGAAGAAGATGAGAAGCTCATCAGCTACATCTCCACCTATGGCCATGGCTGCTGGAGCTCCATCCCTAAACTTGCTGGTATGTATTCATCTTCATTATTAATCAACATGATGATCATCTTCCTTGTTTAATTACTTCACTAGATTAATTAATTAATTGATTGGTTAAGCAGGGCTTCAGAGATGTGGGAAGAGCTGCAGGCTGAGATGGATAAACTACCTGAGGCCTGATCTCAAGAGGGGAAGCTTCTCCCCTCAAGAAGCTGCCCTCATCATTGAGCTCCACACCATTCTTGGAAACAGGTAAATAGTTAATTAACCATAACTATTCAGTTAGTGAGTTCACATCTTCCATCATTTTTCTCAGTCCTAATCATGATTAATTATAGATGGGCACAAATAGCAAAGCACTTGCCAGGGAGAACAGACAATGAGGTGAAGAACTTTTGGAACTCAAGCATCAAGAAGAAGCTCATCTCCCACCACCACCACCATCTTCACCATAATCATAACAATCATGGAGGATTCTTAGTTCCACCACCGCACCAAGGCTTTGATCACTCCACCACCACCATGTTCCATCATCCAAATCACCCTTCATCACTACTTCTTTCTCCTCCCTCTCTCCATGATCACCCTTCATCCTTCTTCTCCCTCGACTCGACTGCGAATCACAACACCACCAACAACAACAACTCTAGTACTGGCCTCAACATTCAAGACCCCACCAACAACAACAACCATCTCCTTGTCTCTCCTTCGTCAGTGCTCCAGGGTTATGGCAACGGTGCTGGAGATGTCATAGCCCTGGAGGAACCATATCACTTGCCAAACCAGCTACTCATGAACATCACTAATTCTCCCATCGACCCAATATGGCCACCATCTTTGCCTTTCTTGACCAACCCACAACTCCTCAACAACAACATTGACACCACCATCATCACTACTCCTGCAGCTCCCAATCAAGAGGAAGTTCATCATGATGATCAAGTCCTGATGATCACCAACATTGATGATGATCATGACAAACAAGATGACCACCACCATCATCAAGGAGTTATTAACAACATGATGATGATGATCAACCAACCAATGTTGATCCCTTATGATGATGATGTTGATCATGACCAAGTACAACAACAACAACAACATCATCATCATCAGCTACTCATGATGCCACCTCATCTTGTATCATCACAAACACATCATCAAGGAGCAGATGAAGATGAAGAAGATCAAGCCCAAGAGCTAGAGGATGATCATCATCATCAGGACCCACAACCAGTTTGCACATCATCACCAGCTGGCATGGCGATGACGTCATCACAGGCCAGTCAGATCGAGTACATGGAAGCCATGATCATGTCATCCTTACCATCGTCATCATCTTCTTCATCGTTCATTGGACCAGGCAGCAGCTGCTGGAACATGGCTGGCTAGCTAATATGCATATTGTGGAAATATTTCAATTAAGTTTGCTATTATAAGGAAGAAGAATATAAATATATGTGGATCATGTTGCATACTAACTAAGGTACAATATATATGTTTGGTATAGTAATTAATAGGGGTGGTACGTAGTGGGTATTTTTATAATTAAATATGGGTTTGCCTGAAAGATGTATAAGGATGGTGAGTGCAGCTTTTATGGGAGAAAACCTAGATGTTACTAGTTCAGGTTCTTTCTTCACTCACTCACTCACTAATGCTTTCATTTCTCCTCCTCTTCGTCATTTATTAATATACCTCTCCATAGTATTGATTGTTACTCTGAATCTAGACCTTGTGCATTCAATTTTGATGGGTGACTGAGAGGAAGGACTGAAGGAGGAGGTTGCTCGTTACGCGCGAGGTTTGAGACCAGAATTTTTTTTAATTCACGATTTGGCGCTACAATTGTCTAATCAAAATTTAATAGATTTTTTTTTTTGTACTGAGCTGACACGGTAATTTGATTTTCTGTTGTTAGAATGAGATTTTTGGCTAAGAAAGAAAATTTAGTGTTGGGGATCCACTTGCCCTACTATGATCAAATTAACAATGAGAAGATTTATACCCATAAGAGGAAGCGAACAAAAAAAATCAATTACCTCTATGGTTAAGAGAATTAAAGTTATCTGTAAACGTCAAATCTCGACTTGTGGGGCAAGTAAAGACTTGGATCGAGATATAGTGTTGTGGTAATTCGTGTGAGGCTAACTAGATGGGAAAATCTCCCAATAGCAATTAAATTTATGTTATGAAAATCCATTTTAGGGTTCGTGTATATTTATTGTAGTTTTTCGAGAATTTTTGTTTTGTTTTAAGTTTAGGAAATTAGATATATGAGCAATGTTGTTGTTGGGAGTACGAGATGGAGGTTTTAGAAGGAAGTTTACTCCATGCTAATGCAGTAGTTTTTAATTTAACTTACGCAAGATGCATGATTTGGAGATGACAGAGCCAAAAAGGTAGTGATGGGTATATTAAGTTGCAAGCAAGCAAGAAATGGGCAAAAGGGTGTTGGAGAGGACATGCATATATTTTTATGTATGTTGACATTCTTGTTACTAAAGTCACATTTGAGTAAAGAAGTTGTGACCAACGCTATGTCTCCACAATAACCCCACTTTCCTTGTGCTTCTTAAGTATTGCTCATTACATCATAATCGCATCATTAGTTATAATTAAGAAACCGTCCGCTAATTAACCCACCTCTGGACTGAATTGGTATCCATATAAGTCGTTCATTCTAAATTTTTCATAAATTATACCATATAAGTCGTTCATTCTAAATCTTTCATAAATTATGTATTCGGATCTCATAAATGACGTAATTCGTGTTCTCTTAATGAAGGAAGTATTCATATATAGATGTTGATGGAAGTTTTGATCTTTAAGCTTGGTCTTGGAAGTAAACAAAAACGTGGCTTTTGACAAAGACAGAATAATAAAACGGGCGCTATATATAGTACAAGAGACTATGATTCAAGTGTACACTTTACTTGATTGCGTTTGGTTTGGATGTACATGGAAAACACACTTTGGTATGCATGGCAAAATTATACAATAATAATGAGACGGCTCTGTTTCTGCTTTGGGAAATCAGAGAACTCATCAGTAGTGTCATTGGCAGAAATAGTAACCAAAATGCAAAACCGAACATGAAAAATTTACATATGAGAACCAAAAGCCCCAAAAAAAAGTGTATTCGATCAAGTTCGGTCTCATATGACGATATTTTAAGGACATTCAATGAAGTCGGAACGAAAAAAGTTTCAAACTTGGGAATCGAAACCGAATCAGGTTGTGCTACGATCCAAACCAATTCAATAGACATAGAAGAAACTATAAAACCTCGATCTACCAGAATCCATCCATAAACCTTCTTCATCCAATTCAAGCACAACAGTGAATATTTATACAGAAGCCTAGTCGAGAGAGAAAAAAGATTGATTCTAACTTCTAAAAGCTCACCGAAAATTCTCTCATAAGCAGGGGGATATACCAAGGAAACAATGGCCTCCGTTTGCAGTAAGGTCATATTGTGCTACAGATGAAGTCGACCGGCTCCTTATTCCACAAGTTCCATTTGTCAAGCCGTAATTCTGAAACGCCCTTTTGCTACCCTTCGTGCAATGACTTTCCTTCCACCCTTGGTTGCCTTGCTGCACATGTAAGAACAACCATGTTAGCCATGATACGAGTGACATGATTCTGAACATACAACAAGACAAGAGATCCAATCTATGCGTCTGCATAAGATCAAGCGACAGAGCATACAAGCAAGAACACAATAGTTGGTTTGAACAAGTTTATCTATGGATTGATTATGTTCATGCTGTCAGCACAAAGGAAGCACAAGAAAATTTGGAAACACTGCAACTCCCAAGATTCTGTAGAGAAGACAGGAGGGGAGAAATACCGTGCAAAGAAGCCATGGTTTCGCTTACGCCTGAGGGTGCTAGGTTGGAATGTCCTTTTTGGAAACAACAGCATTTCATCTGATGAATCGCCTGTAAGTTTAGCAAGAAGCAAACAAATCATGCGGCGATCAAAAACTGTAATATCCATTGCTTCTACGTTATTGAACACATAACCGTATCATTGCCGTGGACAGACACAAGGAACCTACTAGAATCTTCCTATCACAAGAAATCACATCATCAAGCAGGAGGCTAAAACAACCCACAGATAAAGGTTAAAGCCACAAGAACATGCTTAATTCCACAATTTGTGACAAAATTTGGACGCTTTACTCTGTCCCGCAAGCTCCGACAATACTAGCATCAATCAATCAACCATTCATCACAAGTCTACAACTTTCTCTAGTTACTACAGAAAATTAACAGCTATTGGCACTATTGCCACGAGTTCAAACAATGAGCGGGAATAGAGTGAGAGGGAAATGAGTGAGCACCTTCGGGCAAGAAGAACTCAAGCGAAGGAAGGCCGCAGGGATTCAGAAACCCTTCACTTGTTAGTCTCTGGATCGAATTGAAATCGTCGATCTCGGGCGAATGTTCAGAAGGCTGGAAATTGTGGAGTGACGGGAATAGCTGAGGAGTGATTCGCAGCGCGTGAGGCGGGGATTGAAGAAGTTGATGATGTTTCGGCATGATAGGGATTTGCTGGTGGAGAGTCGGATGTGACCGGAACAGTCGGTTGATTAACGAAGCTCCATTCTGGACCAAGGTTTTCGACGACGACATTTCTGGCGGGGGAGAATCCCTTGAAGTTCTTCAGGCTGGCCGCTGGCTGGCCGGCTAAAACCCTAGCGATGGCGGAATTTGGGGATCTTGGGATGAGTTGATTCGACGTCGAGCAAGGGAGTGAATCAGTGAAACATAAGTTGGGCTCAATATGGGCTTTTGACCCATTGGTCCCAAATCTGCTGCTTGTACATAAATTTTCCTTTCTTGCTTTGAATTTAGGCAAGATATTTGTAAATGTGTTGTTTGCTTTAAAAAATTTAGATGAATTGTTATTAAAAGAGTTATTTGATTTTTATAAGGGTATTAAATTAGTCAATTGTACAATATTTTCATTGTGGTGTTACATTTAATATCTTTATTTTGGCTGTTTTTTTTTTACTAGACAATTAATATCTTTCACTATCTTGTTTAATATTCTAATAAAACAAATCAAGTGAAAAAATCATTTTGCAATCAAGAAAACGGCTCCGGATTGCATAACCCGTTATGCACTCATCACTCATCAGTAACTAAATCTAAACTCTTCCTTTTAAGTGGGTTCAGAAAATCCAGATCTAAGGGTGGAGAATTAAAGACATTTTTCCCTCTTATTTTCTTAATCGGCTTATATCTTCTTCGTATTAACTCAAATATCAAAAAACAAATTTCACAGATGGAACGAGTTCGTTATACTCTACAAAATGAGATCCATTTTCAATATTTTTTAGCAAAACAAAATTCTTGCCACTCGTTTGCAAACTGCATACCATATGGTATCTTCTTCGTTTTCAAGTAGTTTTTTATAAATTTTGCATAAAAGAAACGAGTTCATCATGATCTATTTGGATCCACAAATTTCTGGGTGAACAAAATACAGGACCAAAAAAAATAATATACAATACCACCCTAGTACGGGGTGGTATCTTGTGGTACACGATGTTGAAAGTCGTAAATGACATGCCTAAAAATGACTCAATTTTTTTGTTCAAAAATATATCAAAGTGGATATCATTTTGAAGAGCACAATTAATATGATCTAACTATACAAAAAAAAATTAAATTCCAACTTAAAACGAGTGAAAATTGGTGTGCGCAAATTGCTAACGACGTGATAGATGACCCTCTTTGTCACCTATGAAATTTGAGGGAAGAAAAAACAATTCGAAATGAGACAAATTACCAAGAGAAACAAATCATAAAAGGGAATGATAGAAGTGTGATTTGCTCTCAAAATCACGCACATGTTAAAGTTTGTTGTATAATCCATGATTGTTGATCAAAATGGATTTGCCTTAAATCTTGTGGGTGGTAATTGAATAATTTGTTTCACCACTAATTTTGTTGTATAATCCATGTTTGTTGATCAAAATGGATTTGCCTTAAATCTTGTGGGTGGTACTTGAATAATTTGTTTCACCACTAATCACTATCCATTCAAATTTGTTAACACTAATCCTATAAATAATTTAAAAAATTTCAAAGTTATATCTTGGGCTAGTTTGTTTAGCTGAAAACTATTAGGGGGTTGGTGCCTAATCGCCTTGCCACATTCGCAAGAATGTCCATAGTGGAAATGGAGAAACTTGCCGAATTTTGCTACTGAAAGAATCTGTAAACTTATTCTTTGCCACCCAGAAAACGGCAGCGACCTAACCCATCTTCGGTAATTCCACACTTGCAATAATTAAGCGTGACAATTCTTGATATTCTTTGTTTGGTCTTCAAAACAAGGTTTCAATTTGATAGACAGGTGCTCTGTTTTGGTTCCTCTCTACCCACAGAGATTTCCTTTATACTTTCACAACTCTCCTTTGAACCGGTTCAGAGTTCCTTTCAGTTTGAAGTCGATGCCAAGTTTTTTTTAATAGATGGTTGTTGTCATCATTACATTGATAATCTTGTTTGTAGATGGTAGATGCAAGTTCTTCATCATTGACCCCTCCAGTTATTGGCATCTTCCCCACCCATGGTTTAGTCATCAGCCACAAATATTATTTTACCACCTTGTGGGTTCGCAAAAACCGAGAACACAACCATCAATACCGTCGTGTCTTCGTTGGCTTGCGTTGAGATTCACCGCTATTGATAAGCGAGAGAGGAAGTAAGGCATGCTCAAAATTATGTTCAGAAGGTAGTAAAGTCCACCGCTCTCAACTACTCGTCAAGGCAGATAAAGATTAGGGGATAAACCCTACTCATTGAACAACAAAAACACAAAATTAAGGGTATGATGCCATATATCAATGGCGCATTCGCAAGATCCTCCAGAGTTGAAATGGAGTGAATTGTTGAATCAATCTACCGAAATCAGCACTCCTCAATAGCTAACCCATCTTCAATAACAATATTTATCTAAGACTTTTAGATTTTTAGAAAGATTCTCATTTGAGTTATCTCAAGTTGATTTGTGATCCTTTATATATTCTTTCATATCTTTAATTATAAGATTTTTTATTATCTAACTTTATTGTTATTTCTTGAAGTTTTATTATTATTTCTTTAAGATTCCTTCCATACCCGTGATTGTCTTCTTCTGGTTTTTTATATTTATTATAATATTATTACTTATATCCTTAGATTATTCTCATTATGTGTGATTCTTTTATCTCCACATTGATATTCTAAGATTCCTTTTAAAAAAACATTGTTTTTATTCTAAGATGTCCGTGTTAAAAAAAACATTGATATTCTAAGGTTTCTTTTAAATATTTATTGTTTGATCTAAACTCTATGTTATATTTTCTTAATGTTCGTTCATTAATTTTCTCAACATTTCTATTTTTTAATGAAAGATTTTTTTGTGGTTATTCTAGTAATTCTATGTCTTTAAGGTTTTATTTACTTTCTCTACTTTTCCGGATAATTATCATAAATGGTGACAAACCTATTCACTTTGTACAAAATGGTCACAAACTTTTAATTTTGCACGTTTCAATAATAAAAGTTTAAGTGAATAACCAAAAGTTCAATCCGTCCACTTCCGTTCAAAAATCTATTAGATTTACCTAGTCAGCATAACATATCATTAAAAATGTTAATAAAAAATTTCACTTAATCATCCAAATTACCCGTACGACCCCAACCGGTTTACTAACTCAGTAACCACCCGACCGTACACTAATACCCACCCCTTCATTCCTCCGACCGCCCGCCGTGGTTTCTCTCTCCCAGTCCCAATCGTGGCCTCTGCTCCACTCCTCTTCTCTGCTTCACTAGAGACGGGAAACAACAAGAGATTGAAGAGTCGTCCGTCCACATTAGAAAATAGTTTTTTGTTTCAATTCGGACAGTGCGAGAGAGGCGAGGCCCACTTCAATTGATTTTGGGTTTCCTCCAGAAGCTCGCCGAGCTCCTCCTCCACCGCCCGCATGTACTCATGCGCGCATCGTTCTCCGACTACATCTGCAGCACCATTGTGAATTTGATTAATGAGAGATCTAATTAATATTATAAAATTCATTTGTGTAGATGGCAATTAAGCTCTCCGCCCATCTGTGTAGTTGAGGAATCAGGGAGGCTCGGAGAGAAGAGAACTAATTGATGAATAAAGTAGGTAGCTGAGATCAAGTAGTAGTAGCAGTACCAGACCGGTCGGAGTTGGAGACGGATCATTTGGTGATGGCCTAGATGGTATAGATGATCCTCTGGATGTATCCGAAGAGGGAGAGAAACCACAGCGGTCAGAACTCAAAGTCAAAGGGATGAAGGGTATGAGAGAGGAAGGGGTGGGTATCGCGGGCGGTTACAGAACTAGTGAATCGGTTAGGGTTGTACAGGTTAATTCGGATGATTAAATGATTTTTTTTATTAATATTTTTATTGATGTGTCATGCTGATAGGTCAAAACTAACGGAATTTTGGACGGAAGTGGACGGATTGACCTTTTTGGTATTCACTCAAACTTTTATTACTGAAACGTGCAAAATTAAAGGTTTGTGACCATTTTGTATAAAGTGAATAGGTTTGTGACCATTTATGATAATTACCCCTACTTTTCCTTAAATTTCTTTCTGAAATTTTAATGTTTGTTTACCTAATTCTCTTTTTTATGTTTTCTTAATTTTATATGTAATTCTTGAATAATGTCTATTGATTAGTATATTATTGTAAGTCTTGAGGATAGAAAATTTGACGGATGCACTTTTCAGCAACTTTAGTGGTACCCGACACATTAAACATTGTATAGTCATTAATGATGTGTTTGCAATAAAACTTGAAGTTCAATGGTATCCGGTGCAAATTATCCCGATTTATGTGAGTCTGTAGCTTATCAGATTCACTTGGAGTGATTCGTATGCTATATTTTCAAGACCATTTCAGATGAAATGACTTAGTCATTTGCAAATGGGTTTCCTTATTTGACACTTGTCATATTGTCGTCTCCTACTACTTGGTGCAGTTCTTGCATTCCCCGTCGACTTAGAAATATTGATCATATTTCAAATCCAAATGAGCCCTACATTATAATGACTCATTCAACTCAAACACGACAAAGCGACATAGGTGCCATGTTGCCTTTGTACAAGCAGAAGCACACTCAACCATCATATGCAGGTGGGGGCGTGATCTCTCAACAGTTTGAATGGTTGAGCACCAAAGATCTAAAAAACACGAATATTAAAGGTAGATCTAGGGTTTAAAGCAGAGAACTAGATAGACTTAGGAATAGCATTTAGAGGAAGAATTTGGAGAACCAAACCGTTCTTCCCTGATTTCATCATCACAAAACCGAAACAAGGAAACCAAACCAGCCAACCAACGAAAATAAGGGGAATTCATTTGGTCTATTATGAGTTGTTTGCTCTGGAGATAGAGTAGGCAACCACCCATGAAGTTAAACCATTTCATCAACAAATATGGATTATGAGACAAATCCAATGTGTTGAATCTTGAAAGCGAATATATCATCAAAACCGTAGAAGCAAATGGCTCCTTAGATCTTCCTTATTACCTTAGGTTAGATGACTTCTTGGACGAATCAAGTTAGGTGTAGTTAGGTGACCCTGAAGCCACGTGCGGCGGTAAGTGGGTGCAGGTGTGGATGAGTCTCCTTGCAAATAGGAGCTCTAAACCCCGTGTTAGCTCGCTTGGTCGTGTCCTGCAGAGACAACCCTTAACCAAGACCAGGAAGGTTACATAAATTCTTGAAACATCCCGGCCACTCCGGATTCGTTTCTCTCAACAGAGAAAGTACTGCACATCTTGTGAAATCTATTACCTCTAGCTCTGGTAGCGGGTTATATGTCATCCCTGACTGGTGAATCATTCCACTTCTAAGCAGTCGAGGGTAAATCCCTCCCTTATTCCTTGGGGAATCCCGTTCCCTTTTCCAAAGTCTTAATATCATCTTTTTAGTCTTTGGTGGTAAAAAAAAGTAAAAAGCTGCCGCAACACTTGAAGACATTCACATATGTAGATTCTAACTACTGATTAAGATTCATCAATCAGTTCTTCTCAAAACCCGGATGAGGCTAATAGCCTCTTTCTTTAGTACATTGAAAACAACATAGGAATCAAGGTTGTTAATGCGATTGCCTTCTACTTGAATCGAGAGAAGGTTACCTACTTTACTGAAATGAGAGTCGCCCTTCACCCGCTTTTCAGGCTCACATTTTCCCTCTCTCTCCCTATACTTTCAGTCTAGCAACTTCGTTCTTTCGCCCTTTGGTTCTGTCTATAGTTCTGTATCCCGAGACTCGTTTGCTAAGTGGCCTCATAGTCCAAGCGTCTTGGTCCGAGGAAGGGCCAACGCATAGAGAAGGGAGTATGAACAGGGTAGGCATCAAGGATGGGGTTTCATAAGCGATAAAATAAGCGGTCAATTTTATATATTTATATATATGGGTGTTTCTATCTTACCTTGGGTAAAATTAAAGGTATGACATACTTTGAGTAAGAAAATGATATCTAGACCTTGAATTGGCCAGAGTTTGGCATATGGTACTAATCCTAAACCCTTAAACATTAAAATCTATGTCTTGGTTCTATAAAGCTCATACACTAAGATCAATTTAATTAGAAACAAAAATCGATGGTTCGTCGAAATATCTGTGACAAATTACATGCACAATATTATGGAATAGGCTCAATGATATAGATAAATAATACCTATGGTTCACCCATCAAGGGTTAGGGTATAGTATTATACCAAAAAAATCGGTTTTCAATGTCTAGATAGTGTTTTCTTATTCAGGATATGTCGTACCCTAGATTTTACCCATGGTATGATAGAAGCCACCTATATATATGTGAGAAGATAAAAAGGGCTATGTTCAATTTTGAGCTGAGCTTGCTAATTTTGAGCTGAGTTTGCTATTTGCCTTCGATTTCAATTCAACAAAAAGGTACCAACAACATAATTGTTGTGGACCATAACATTAAAGAAAAGGCTATATCATTTCTTCCCTTTATGAACGAGCAAGGAAATTATTTGGGGAGTGGGGGAACCGATGCCCTGCCGAGGTAAACTATCATAAGTTGGTAAAAGCAAACCCTTTTACTTGAAAAGGATTTAGCTCCAGCCTTTATGTAATCATGAAGAAGCAAGCAGTAGCCATGAAAATCATCACCTTGAAGACTTGAATACATGGATTCTAAATGCCAGAATCTGAGTTCAGATTTTGATCAAATACATAACAAGAAGCCAAAAATAAAAACAAAAACAGATGGAAGTGGTGATGCAGGAGGGGGCATTCAATTAAGACCCCCCGCTGCCACGGTTTTAGATTACATTAGTATCCCAAGAGGAAGAAGAGAAAAAAGGCTACACAAGAACAAGCCAGACCCCCAAATTGCATCAGAACAATTTCAATGGAGGGAAATAAGGAAGAGATTGAAAAGAAGCAAAAACAAGAGTGGGACAGAATTGAGAAAATGGCACCAAATCAATTTATATATAACCTGTCAATGTGTGTACAAAAAATCATGTGGCGATGATAAAGATTGACTGGTATCTGTAGTAGAAGCCCCCTTTTCCTTCACTGGCTCTCTTGAAGTGCAGAAGAGATCCATGCCGAGGCTGCTGTTTGCGTTTCCGGTGCAATGTGTGGTGAGAGTGAGAACGGAGTTACTGCAACCTGGTAAGTGAAAGATAAACGAAGCAGTTTAGTTATGAAGATTGGGAAACCCTAGTTCCATGTTCAGATTGAATGTCTTGTTGTCTATTGCAGTTCCCCAGATAGTTCTCGATGTTTACAAGTCAAATGAGAGGTGGTCCACCATGTTAGGGTTGGGAGCATAAATAGGGTAAGTGAGAGTGACTCATCATAATCATGAACACAAACTTTAGTAAAGAGATGGTCCAATCTATAACAGTCTTGTTATAATGATAAATTCACATGCCAGCAAAAGTCACACAACAACCAATACACAGTCCAGAGATTGTCGAATGAGCCGTGAACTAGTACTAGGACTAGCAATTATGAAAATAAAAATGTGAACGAAAGAGAAAAGTAACTTACGAATCCGCTTTCAAGGGCCCTGAAGTCCAGGTCCTCATCTATGTCTTCTTGCTCCTTCTCGATAAACTGACAGCAGAAGAGCAGGTAGTTCTTTTAATCAGATGTTAAAGCCAAAGATATGGAAAGACATTCATGTGTCTAACCACTAAAGCCGCCCAAAACTGTAACTGTGAGTCTGTGACATTGGAAATAAGTAATATACCTCCAGTCTGAAGTACTTTTTCAATTTGTTCACTTCGGATTTCCCAGAGGCCCCAACCGACTCAATCTCCAAATTCGTATTTTGTTTGGTAACACGACGTGCTGCTCCCTGAAGAAAAAGCAGACCGAATTTGCATGAATCAAACGGAATGCACAAGGTTTGATGGTTCAGGAAGAGACTGCAAAAGGAAACAAATAGCAAAAAATCAAGAAAAATACTCACGGCAGCAGAGGCATCTCGACTAAGCTGGGCAAGCTGTAGGCCAAGGCTTTGTTGATTAGACATGTATCCAACACCAGGATGCCGGTTTGCAGAAATGGCATTCCAGTTAAGGGTAGATCGCCACATACTTTGCTTAGTAAGTTTGAAACCCTACCAGATAAATTAGCAGGGATGTTGTCAAGCAAGAACAAATGCACAGCTAAAATGAGATTTACCAAAAGAAACTCTGTTTTGGTGCACTTGGAGTGTGATTCTAACTCAGTGTAACAGACTCTACAAGAGAATAGAGGGAAATGACTGCCACAGAAACAATGTGAAGAAAACCTTTGAAAAACAGCAAATTAGCTGCAAAAATCTTCAACAAATAACCATTTTTAAGGGTTCAAATTCCATTTCAAGCTGCTCTCTCGAAAAATAACAATATGCTTCTGAATCATGTCTTTTTTTCTGATGAAGAACTAAATTGCATTTGAAATCATGCCAATAAACATATCAACTTGCAAGGCAGATGCGACGATCTCAAAATGTTGGCCTAAAGTTAAGGTGAAGTCAGTCTTGCATCACAACGGAAACTTCACAAGTATCCTTAGCAATTGCAATGAAGGCTTACTTTGTTCGTAGATGGTGAAGTAGGGATTTGTATGTTCAGGGAACAACTCTTGGGGAAAGCCCCCTTCTCGATATCTCTCATAGCAGCATTTATCAATGGTAAACATACAGCAACAGCATCCTTGAAATCACTTTCTTGGCTTGCATCCTTCTTCCTATGATAATTTGAACCCAAATGAATTACTTAAGCAATCAGAGCAGAAGAAACAACACAAAACAACACTTTTCTTAGCAGTTTAACACTCACCAGTTAAGCGAGATTGATAGAGATGGGACACCACTTATTAATGCTTCCCTAGCTCCAGCAACAACACCTGAGTAAAACCTGGTCAATTTCAGCACAATAGAAGCAGTCTCAGCCTTTGATTAAGTTAAATCTAATGGCGGGAAACACAAAGCAAAAATCATGCATTTCAAAGACATCATATTGCAATATTCTGAAAGGAAGAGTGTCTTGCAAATGATGAACCAAGTAAACGGTTCAAGTACTTACATGTGGTGACCACAGCTTGATCCCTTGTTAATTCCGCTAATGACCTGAAAATCAAAATGACTAAATTTTTTAAATGCACGAGAGCTGTGTAATACCTAAGATATGTAATCTGAAGATAAGAGCAAATAAAGGCCAACCAGCACAGGCTTTGACCAAGAAAAGAGTGCTCCAGACAATGCTAATGAGACACAATCCACAGGAGTCCCTGAGCGACAAAGACCACCATAAATCTTTACACCGATGAGATATTAACAACAGGTACCAAATATAAGCACAGAGAAACATTCAATCAAGCAGAAATGGTTCTGTAAAACCAAATGACATGGAGACTAACATTCAATTGCCAAACTGAGAAGCTACATCTTTCCCTATAATTCCACAAGCTCCATGAAAGAAAACATCTCATACATATGCATAGGCATATAGTTGAGTTTCCATCATACATGGCTCACATACAACCGAAAAACAGGAAATGTAACCATGCTTACATTTTGGGGGAAGCACCAAACCGAACAAGTAGTACCTGAAATTTCAAATGCAGTAGCACCACTAATTTGACACGACGTTGCAGCTATGGTTTCCCCTTGTGTAATAGAATGACCAGAAGCTGATTTGTCCCTGGAAACCAACAACATTCACTAACTAAACAAATCACGAATAATCTCAAGTTGATACAGGAATGAAAATTAAAAACATTAAGTTAAACATATGCTAAAGTTGACCAGAACCATTATAAAAGCGCAACATTATACGCCATGTGGCAAAACTAACTCAAAAACCATATCTTTACATCCAACAGATCCAACCCAGACAAGGAATGCAAGGAAACCAACCAGGCATGGAAAAGAACATAGGAAATGAAGGGGAAATAAAACCCACAATTGCGGGGCGCAGACATGGACGTTGTAGCTTCCTTCACGAACCAAAGCTTCGACGAGAAGGAGAAGACCAGGGGAATCAATTCCATCGCCATTGGTGACCAAAACAATAGGTCTGGTGTCATCATCTCCATTCCCTGCCGCAGTGTTTTCAGCTGAAGTAGAAGAAGTAGAAGGTCCATCTTTCGATTGCTCATCGCCAGCGCCACCACCCTTTCTGCTGCTCAGAACTTCCTGGAGATTGGACACGAGGCCCGGCGGCAAACCTTTCTTCACCGACGTCATATCGTTCAGGCAAGAGAGGGAAGGAAAAGAGGCTTAGCCGGCGTAGGGCGGAAACCGGATGATTGTAAGAGAAGTAGGGTGACGAAGGGAAACAAAAGGCCGGAGGAATTGGAATGATAAAAGAGGAGAGAGCTTGGAGTTGGAAGAAAAGGGAGAAATCGGAAATATGGATTGATGGGAATGAGTAGATTGGACCTGGTCTAGCGGGAATTTTGGGGGAAATTTTTATTTTTGGGTGGAAAAAGATTGAATTTTTAATGGGTGTTGAAGAGGAATTTGATTGTGTTTGAATTTGGAGACAAGATTTGTGACTTTTTTTTTTCTTACAACTTTGAAAGTCTTTGGGTGGGGGTAAAGGGGAAAATGGTAAAAAGGAAGAATGATAGGTTGGAATTTTTTAGATGGCAAACAAATTTTATGTAATTCAATTCATATTGATTTAATAGTACACCAATTCAATTAAACTTACAATTACATATGTGGTGGACCCTAATCATCTTGTAAATAAATAAATGAAGATTTAAATGGAAATGGATAGAATATAATTTTTATTTTGTATGTAGCTTGCATCTTTGCATGTGTCCATTACATTGCAATTTCTTTTGCAAATTTATATTAAACGCCACATAAACGTTGCAATTGAACAAACATCATTGATACAAATCACAACCATGCAACCAAATGACACATTAGAATTGCCTTGTTGATCTCATGCTTATAAAGATTCTTCATTTTTAACCTAATATCTCGGTTTAGAGTCTTCTAACTATAAAGACTTTTAATGTAGAAGACATTCAACTATTAAATGAAAATTGTCAACCCATGTTTGATTAATGCTAGGTCAGTGGTTGATGAAACATAATATTTATCGTACATTGTCAACAAAGATTTCTCTAACACTCACGTGCCATATAATACGTGTACATCATCAAGTTTCTATCGAGACCTTTTACTATATAATACTTATTTTATTTTATAGATATATTAATTAGAAATAAGAGTAGGGATGGCAATGGAGCGGGTTTGCCTAAACCATCACCAACCCCATTTTCAAATACATAAACTCATACCCGCCTCATACTCATACGGTGGAAGGTTTTACAAACTCATCTCCATACCCGCGGTTTTCGGATACCCATGGCCATGGGTAATACCCACCCCATTAGCTACTCACCATAAAAATATGTAAAAAATATGGGTACTACCTGCCCAAAATTATAGAACTGATACATAAGTGGATGTTATATTTTCTGCATATAACATAATATCCTCGGTGGGGCGGGTTTGGGTATGGGGATGGGGATTTCAAAAGCATATCCGCCCATCTCCATCAAAAATTTTGCGGGTTTTCCCCATACCCAATCAATGCGGAGATTCCCCAGATTGACTGGGTCGGAGACGGTTGTGTACCTGCGACCATGGGTTTGGTTGCCATCTCTAAATAAGAGAGTGTTTAATAGCCAAAAATATAAAATAACATAGTTCATTTTTGAAAGTAGATTGATTTTCTAACAGTTATTTTTCCATCGTTATATTTTGTTTAATCGATGAAAATATTATTACTTATGTGTGTGTTTGTTTAAAATTTTCAATAACATATAACTTATTATTTAGTTTCAGTAAAAAAAACAGTAGAAAATTTACTTGATCAAGTTTAATAATATATAATTTGTTTAACTAAATGTGATATATCACTCTACAAACATTAGTCTTTTTCTACAAACATAGTTATAATATAAAATTAGAAAGAATTATTGAATAAAAGAAAACATCATTAAAAGAAGAGAGAGATAACTCTATAAATAGCTCATTAACTAATTTTTTTGGTTGTACAAAAATTGTCCACCTTGACAACTTGTGAATTATCCAAGTACTTATATGGCAAGAAGTTGTTTTTGAACAACCATAATATATAGTAAGATGAATGCCCTTGCACCATTGATATGAATGCCCTTACTCACAATTTTACTGACAAATTAGTCGGTTTCAAAGAGGGGAAAAGATTTATTTATATTGCATTATATGATTTTATGCATTTTTGCATGAGATTGTTTATGGGTATTCAAATGGTTACCATGGTAATAATCAAACCAATTAACCTTAAATTTCATTAACCATGGAATAAAATTTCTTAACCAAACCGTCCAAAATAACACGAAAACAACATTAACCAAACCAAAGTTTAATTGGTTTGGTTAATCGGATAATCGGATTAACCAAATAACATTACATTACATGAAAATAATTATCTTGTTAATGAATAAAACATAATCATATGTTATTACTATCATAAACTATCATTATATATAAGCAATAATAATAATACTAATCATCTATGATTATCATCATCATTGGAGTTAATACATCATTCATCATCTCTGCACCTAATATAGTTAACTTACAACAAACCCTAAACATAAATATTAAATACATACTCATAGCACTCATCAGGAAGTTAAAGCTCTCCTACAAAACACTTAAATTATACGTAATTTGAGGTGGTTGTCATGGTATTGTACGTAATCCTAAAGTCTAGTAATTGTCCAAAATATTTTGGTTTAGTAAATAGGCAGACTCATTTATTTTTTGACCCATAATGCTTTGGTTTGTTGTCACATGGAAATAAAATAGGGAATCACGAAAGTTTGGTTTGGTTGGTTGCATGGAAGTATACATAATTTTGTATATTAGGTGTAGGGCTGCAAATAAGTCAAGCCGCTCGCGAGCAACTCGGCATTCGAATCGGAAAAAAACTCGTTCGACACTCGACTCGTTGTTTAACAAGCCGACTCGTTAGTTAACGAGCCAAGCTTGAGCTAGGCCATGCTCAGCTTGATAAGCTCGCGAGCTAGCTTGACTCGATGGCTTGTTGAGCTAAGCTCACGAGTTGACTTGTTTAAAACTTGTGGAAGGATTAATTATTCTTCTGAACATGAAAATTATCTTATTAATAAGGATGTGTATGGAAGTTAGATGTTATTTTTAGTTTTTAGTGTTCTTTTTATCATTTTTAATTTATAATGTTCTTATTTGTACACACTTTTTAGCAAGAATGGTTTCAAATCGAGCTTATCTTGAGCCGAGCTTGTAATCAGCTTGACAAGCTGTGTTAATGAGCATTTACCGAGCTATATCGAGCCGAGCTCGAGCTGGATTATTTTTAATCGAGTCGAGCTCGAGCTCGAGCTGAATGATCAAAATTCGAGTTCGAGCCGAGCTCGAGCTAAAAAATTTATAAACAAGCCGAGCTCAAACTAAGCAAAAACTCGACTCGGCTCGTTTACAACCCTAATTAGGTGTATCATTAATTGGTTAATTGGTTTCATTAGTTAGCAGTGTTGAACCAAACCAACTCATCTAAACCAAATAAGCTAAACCAAACCATACCAATTATCTAAATTAACCAAACCAAATTAACCGAATACTACAAGTTAATATGATTACCACGGTAACGAATCCGTTTGAACACGCTAAGATTGTCTACATTCAATTAAACAATATAGTTCACCCTTTATTCAAAATTTACAAAACGGAAGTTACTTTTCCCCCTACTTTTTTTGTCTGTCTTATTTTGCATTTGTAGGTTGTTACTTGTCTATATTATTATTACGCTTATTTAACCTTTTCACAACTCGCAATTACATCCTTAAAAGAAGTTGATGAGCTGTGACTTTAGAGTTTGGACTTTAAGGAAGACAAGAAATTAAATCCATATGGAATCAAATTGAATGAGGGGTTTGCTGGATGGGAGTTGTGGGAATCACGTCAATAATTAATTAAGATAAGAGTACATAGTACACGTCTATTGATACCATAGTACCATTTGATTTCAAGATTCTGAGCCAACCCCATTGATATGCCTTCTTCTTCACCCCTTTTACAAGTTCAACTTCACCATAAAGTTGGTTATTAATGACCCAAACCACCGCATCAAAATTCCTCATCAAGCTTGTCGACCAAATTCCATGGCTCGATCGACTATTCCCAAAGGTCGGTTACTCCTCTCCTCTCACCGACTCTTTAAGTGTGGATATACCTCATGATAGGGGTGAAAGCTTGACCCGTTCCGACCCGTCCCGTCCCTAAGGGTCGGGACGGGTCAGTTTGTCTACAGGGATAGATTAGGGACGGGTCATTTGTTGACCCTGTAAGGGTCGGGACGGGTCGGGACAACTTAGGGACGGGTCACATTTTGACCCTGTGACCCTTAACAACAACAAATATCTCATACTTCATTGGACCTTTTTGTAAATTTTTAAAAGTTTAGGTACTAATTTGTAAAAATAAAAAATTTTGGGTACCAAAACGTAATTTTACCATCAAAATTTATGGACTTATTTGTAAAAAAAATAAAATTTAGGTACTAAATTGTAAGAAAAAATAATTTTGGGTACCAAAACGTAATTTGTAAAAAAATAGTGTGTTAATTAGGGTCGACCCACTGACCCGGCCCGTCCCGTCCCGTCCCGTCCCAACCCTTGAGGGTCAGACAGGATCAAGAAGGAGACAGGGATGGGACGGGACGGTTATACATCTTGACCCTTCAGGGACGGGTCAGACAGGGACAGGGACGGGACAGACAAATTTTCAGCCCTACCTCATGATATGTCACCAATTTTCTTCTCCTTATTCGCATACAACAACGACTCCTTGATTATGTAATTTGACCTTGTATTTGTTGTTCTCCACGAGGTTGAACTTGAGGCAAAAATCTTCGACGAATTTGATGTCCATCTTCTCCAATTGCCCGCGTTAACCGCTTTTCACCTCCACCCATCATATTTGACTAGTGGCTCCAACCAAGTCTTCCTTTAGCGCTGATCGGAGAACTGCTAGGGGGAGGGTGAAACTGCCCTTGACGATCTTCACCAGCACCAGAATCTCGACTTCTTTCACCATCAACGATTGCGACGGGGAAGTGTATTTTACCAAAACATCGGAGAAGCAAGCAGCTGTGGACATTGATGAACTGACCTGGGACTAAAAGAGGAAGATCTGGTGCTAGGAGTAGAATAAGACGGATAAAATGGAATTTATAAAAATATAATGTGGTGTCCACGTGGCATGACATGCCAAATTGTCACTGACTGGTGCGTCAATGTGACATCCTCATCAGCATCTTGTTAATATAACTGCCGGAATCTCTAATGGTGTTATATTTTTTAACGGAAGTGGCTAAATTTATGAAACATGTTTCAAAATCTGGACATTTTTTGTATTTCTCATATATTGGCTGTTATCATCACAAAGTCTATAGTTAAGTTTATGTAAGTAAATTTAGTTAATTCCACATGACAACATTTTTTTTTTACTAAATGTCGCCAAGTTAGCAAAATTGTTAGTCTCGTCATGACTCCGCTAAAGTTTTGGATGGAATAAAAAAAT